TCCCTTCCCGTTTGCTGTATCCCACGTCTCTCGTCGTCTCTCATCATTATAGGCGCGGCCAAGACGAAGACGAGTGTGACGCACGAGCGGCCTTAATATGAAAATCACATTCGATTTACGCGCTAAAGCTTGAAAATTGAGCTAATCGCGAAGAAATTGTCGATCGCTCCGAAATTCATATATCTACGATGCTTATAAAAGTGTCTCCTGCCATTAAACTCGGCCAACCTTACATCTGCATAGAAAATAATCTGAAACTTATGCTCTTTGATTGGCTGATCAGTGGGCCACTGTCACCAGGAGGTGGTGCGAGCTGGCCAGGAGCAGATGGCCCTTCTCTCGACGAACATGCGCTTCCTCCACGACAACATCGTGATATGCGCCCGAAGGCTGACCTCCACCCTACCGGAGAAGCTGTCGGTTTGCTTCTTCGTGAATTCCGGCAGCGAGGCCAACGACCTCGCGCTCCGCCTCGCCCACACCCACACCGGCAACAAGGACATCATCACCCTTGACCAGTGAGTTTGCACGTCCTTATGCATTACCGTAAGCGAGTGCCGCTTGACAATGCGACACACTAATCCTAATCGCGCTTTGCTTCCTTAACTGTCGATTATAGTCGAGTGATCGAGCAGCTGACCAGGGACTCCTTCGGCTGTCAATGCGGCCTGCTTTTCATGTTTTCTCTATCTAATATCCGACACCCAGTGTCTCTCCTCTTCCTCCTCCATTTCGTGGATCATTTATGAAGAATCGCTCGTTGCATTTAACGCCGAGCGATTAACCATGTCATTGTCATAAATTTACTAATTCGCAGTCTTTTTCTGGTCATGAAGCTTCGTTGATCCTTTATTCGTCATTCTCTCTCTTTCCCCCCATATTTTCCTTCGGAGCATCTCTCTCTCTCTCTCTCTCTCTCTCTCTCTCACTCTAACATCTCTTTGTCTCTGTCGATTTCTCAAACTATCCCTTATTTATATCCCACTCGGCATACATTATGGGACGTACGAGCTATGATATAATTTGAACGATAATGGGGCTTACCGTAATCATGTACAGAATTTTTTATACCCACATTTTTTCTAGCCAAAATAATCGGTAATGAGATTTTTCCTTTTCACTTTACTCCAATTTAATAATTTCCAACGAATTAGTAGCAAATAACGACCGTCATTAGAGTCGCTCATACATATTCCACATGATCCTTTGACAATGATAATAATTTCTTCCGTCGTTTACTCGGATTTTCACACATACTAATAGTTAAGCGATACCATTTGCTCGACCATTTTCATTTTCTCGTTCATAATAAAGTAAATAAATATCTGCCACTTGAAAGTTCATTCAAATTCCAATAATTTTCTCTACCTGACACCTGCGTACAGCGTTTCTCCCCTTTCTATACATTAGTATATAGTGCTTTATATTTATAGGTTAGACTTTTAAGCTGCCTATGTTTGACTTTTTTATTTATTTATTTTTTTATTTCCACCTATTACATCACACTTCATTTTCATCAATTTCTCAACTCCTGTTTCTTTTCACAAGATTCTTTTGAACTTCGATGCGAAGATTTTATTACGGATAGTTATGGTGTATGAAGGTTGCGATATAAAATAAAATATTGTTTTCTCCTTATTATAATTATTGTCTTTCTAAAATTCGACGTAATAAAGAAATTAATAAATAATAAATAAAATAAAGGTAATGGTAAATCTATCGGTAAGACGTTATGATATAATTCAATAATGTGCTTGCTTGATCCTAATTAACATTTCATGCAAAAGTACAAGAACATATATTAAGCAATTGCATATAACTGAAAGTATATTATACTTTATGCAAGTTTATCTAACTTTTTTTGTTTTGTTTTTCTTCATAACTTGACGAACGCTTTTAAACGGATAATACAATCGTAGCTAATTTTCATTAAAAATCTAGTTGAAAAAATTCGTAAAAATGAAGCCCAATGGACTGCGGCTAGTCCGATAAAATGTAATTGATTGGTATAAAAGTCTTTTAGTTAACAAATTATCGGACTATCTGTAAAAGTAAGAGATAGTACGTAAACAAATGAAATCAGTTTGACAAAATGCAGAATGGCACTCGACTTAGAGACTTTAAGTAAGTTAGAGGACATCTTGGAAAAGTTGCGGCTGGTGTGAAACTTCCGAGACAAGTATAAGCAGGTCACGTAGACGCGCGCGCACGCACGCACACACACGAACACACACGAACACGCGCGCGCACGCACGCACACACACACACACAGAGAGAGAGAGAGAGAGAGAGAGAGATAGAGATAGAGATAGAGAGAGAGAGAGAGAGAGAGAGAGAGAGACGTCTTCGAACTCCTACTGGTGTCGCTTCTTCGACTTGTGCCAGACGATCAGATCAATTCTCTTCCCTGCCATCAAAGATGCGTGCAAAGCTGTTCTTTATTTACACTCGCATCTTTGTTTTATTTTCTTTTCAGATCGCATGACAGCTTTTTCGCGTAGCTCTTGTTCTTGGATACATGCTAAGTTGTTCTTTTACGTGGATCGGTTTTCAAATAATAGGACGAGCCATTGAATCGATTCATTTTTCAACTTATCGTAACAATTATTACTCTTATTATTAATAATGGGAATGCGTCTTATTCTATTAATGCTTCATTCCATTTGAGATATTATTAGTCTGAAAGAAGCTCGATAAATTAAGACGATCGTATAATTAAATTCATAATCGAGTTTGGTGGAGATATTTAAGTAAGTTCCTGGTTAATTATATTTTTAAAAGAATAATCTTTAGAATATAGTCGCCTGGAAAGTTAAATAGCATCATTAAATAGTCGTGCAGTGATGAATATTTGCTGTCGTACAATTGTAAGTAGAACGTCTCTCTCTCTCTCTCTCTCTCTCTCTCTCTCTCTCTCTCTCTCTCGTTACAATATTTATAATAACGAGGGGATAAACAATCTTTTATTCATGTTTTTCATCGTATAGCGATTGTAAATTAAATTCAATAGATTACATGACAATTATAGTCGATCATACTTTTAGCTATTTATGATAAATTTGACGATTGACTTAAACAAAGGTATTTATAATAATTTTTAATTTTTAATTTTTATTTTTGTTTTGTTTTGGCATTTCGTTTGGTTTTTCTATTGTTCTTAAACTTTGGCCAATTAAATGCATTTAATTTGAATCGGCTCGCCTCTCTAAATGTTGCCATGCACTTTGAGTGTTACAAAAGAAAGTGTGAGAGAGAGAGAGAGAGAGAGAGAGAGAGAGAGGGGGGGGACAAGAAAAAAAAGAAGAGAAAAAAATAGACACTTTGAAAAGTATAAGATACACGAATAGTTAATTCGAAAGAGATGCAAAGTTGTCTTCAATTTATCGAATGTTATAGCCGATTATATAAATGTCTTATTTAACAAATGGGAAAGATTTATTGTCATTTATTGATGAATGGATGCGAAAGCGGTTCCATTTTTATCATTAAAACTCAATTGAAAAATACTCTACTTAATAAGCAATGATTGTTCGAACGCAATGGTAGTAAATTATAATATTTTCAATTATCTATAATAATTGTGCAGTATAATTATCTAATCGAACTAGGAGTAAGTTATTGAAAAGAGTTGGCTGCTTATCGTAAATAATTTTATACGATCTAAGTCGCCACATTTTCCCTCGGTATTTGTGTACATATTATTTATTAATAGAAAAAAAAAACTAAAAAAAAAAAAAAAAAAAAAAAAAACAAAAAAAAAAAAAAAAAAAAAAAATAACAGAAGAAAAAACTAAAAATAAAATGCTTCATCTCAAGCGGCTGTGAGTGTAAATTTATGCGCCATATCGATGTTATTTAAACATTTAAACAATCGATGTGAGTAATAATAACACAATAATACTTGAATTTCTTAAAAATCATTAACTCTTATATAATAAATAGCAGCTCTTTCGATAAAATTTATCTGCATTCTTACCTTTGAGAACCTTGTCTCGTTTAATTTACACGCACGTAAGATCCGTAGAAAATGAAATGTATCGTTAGATTATTACAAAGAATCCTTATATTTTTATGCATTATGGATAAAGGTGACATTGTTATTAAATGAATAAATTGCAGCGCTAGTTTTATAATCATTAATTCGTCGAGGTCTGTTGATAATGACAAAAAAATTGATAGACAGAAAATGGGACAGTTTGAAAGGATCAATGACCGATGAACGCTGTACCATTATTAAAAGGGATCGCCAGCTCCAAGATGAAACAATGGTCGTGTTATTCTTGGACTTGAGTTTAGAAAAAAAATGTATATGTATATGCCATTTCTCGCAATTGATTCTTACAATAGTCTGTAACGTTAAGGATACTTTCATTAATTCATTCGCTCTACTTTTGCTTGTTTGCAGCGCGTCCACGGTCATTTAACAAAAGCGTGGAACGGATATAACGAACAACGAACCGTGATATGGGATCAGCATCAACCGTCGATCAAAGCCCCATGAACTTCGCACACCATTGATTGATCATCATCGATAAAAAGATTATGTCATTTTAGGTGACACTGGAGACGATGTATGTGATGTATTGAAAACAATGAATGAAAGCATTGTTGAACAATTTCGTTATCCATTCTAAAAATCGACTGCTTTGACTAGGATGCGAGTGGAACGACCATAATGAGAGGAATTGATTAAAAGTCTTGTGTAAATATAATGATCGTGGCTCGATTGCGATAAAAATGTTTGTTCGTTCGTTCGTTCGTTCGTTCGTTTGTTTTTTTTTTGTTTTTGTTTTTTTTTTGTTTTTGTTTTTTTTTTTTGTTTTTTTTTTTTTTTTTATCTTTTTTTTTTTTCGCAAGAAAAAGTGAAAGAAAAAGAAAAAAGATAAAAGAAAATGAAAATCTCATCTATTTACGAACTTGGGATTATTATTCACTCGTAAGCCGATAAGATGCCAAACCATCTTGTATCCTCAAGTTGGCCATGGTTATCAATTTAGCGTTATTTTTGTTTTTAAGCCGAGAAGTCTACATTTTATTTTGCTCGTAAAGCGATAAATATTTATCATTATTGAATGCGATGGTGTGATTTTCGGCAAATAATTGTCACGATAAGCGCTATAGCGAAAGCGCGCTAGTAGCCGAGCACGTAATCTCGCGATGCCGTCTTTAAAACTTTGTCCACACCCATTAAGGATGTTTTCACCATGAGAATTGGCATTAGATAAGCTAGATAGATCGAGGACTTGACGATAATCTTGCCCATTACCATTCGAGACAGTAGTCAATAATTAAGACTTGATAGCCCCTTGCTTCATTAATAATGCCAAGTCTTTATGGCGAACGAACAATTGGCAAAATTAACTAAGTGCATGGTTTAGTTGGTTGCCCTAGGATGTGAACAAATTTTTAATCCTTCGAGTGAAATACGGCGAATTGATTAATGTAGACCTCTCTAACAATTAGAATATCTGCTAATAATGTAAAATAACTTTATATTTTTAGGTGGTTACAATTTTATATTTTATTAAATTTTATTTGCGTATATCGAAAATTGGCAAAATGGTTAAAAAGGTTCGTAAAAAAATTAATATTATAATAGCACAATTCCTTCTCGTTTTATTAAGATAATTCATTTTAGCATTTTTCTTTTCTTTTAGCATATAGAAATAATTTTTACAAACAATTTTCACTTTCCGTACGTTCATATTAAAAATTATCAATGTCAAAAACAAATTTTTTACAGCCGATACGACCTTTCATTCATTTACGAAGACGTTTCAGGCTTATTGACAAAATTTTCGTTACAGTATTACTACGAGAAGTCCTTATTTACTCTTGATTATTCCTAGCATTGCAATGTTTATTGAAAATCGTTCCTTAAATTAATTCTCATTGCTTTTGTTTATTTATGATTGTAGTGCTTATCATGGGCATTTGACTTCGATGATCGATATATCACCCTACAAATTCAAACTCATGGAAAACGGCAAGAAAGATCACGTGCACGTTGTAAGTAATTTCGTCACAATCATTGAGTGAAGCACCCAGTCGCTTTATTATTCATTACTAGATCATTCGCGAATTTTCAAGCGATTTTTAAACTATTCGTTGGAATATATTCGTTGGAATAGTCCGTAGCGTGCATGAATAATATCACAAAAGTCGTTAGTTGTATCGATTAAATTTATGAAAATCAATCATTAATTTCGCCACGATGATAACGCCATTTAATACAATGACACTAGTTCTTTAGAGAATTCGAGTGATTTTTTTTCTTTTTTTTTTTCTTCTTTTTTTTATAACGCTCTAAGCTTCAAATTTGCTAGATATAGTCGATTAAATCAGAATTTATTAATTAAAAAAGCCCAGTGACATTATTCTTTATTGCTGTAAGGAACATTATGTCTTAATAATAACAAATTTTTTTTCTTCCATTTGCAATTACAGGCTCCCTGTCCAGACGTTTATCGTGGCAAGTATCGCGACGACGTATACCCGGGTGAAGATCTTGGAATTAAGTACGCCGAGGACGTTAAAAATATTTGCGAGGATCTCGCGGCGAAAAGCCGAGGTGTCGCTGCTTTTATAGCCGAGAGTCTCATGTCCGTTGGCGGACAAATTCTACCACCGGATAATTACTTCAGAAATGTCTACAAGTTGGTTGAGTTCATTCATAATGCACATCGACTAATCTATATTAATTCGATATAAAAAACTTCGAGCGCCAATCATGCAAAACAAAACAATGACATCGGATGTGGCGTAAAAAACAAATTCCAAGCCTTCTCGCGCGCGCGCGCGCGCGCTTACGCACGCACACACACACATTGATATAGCTGAGCGATGATATTTATTGATGTTCCCCGACCGTAAAAATTTACCGAACCTAAGGCCAAATCAACCAATTCCCTCTCTCTCTCTCTCCTGCTAATGACGCCTTTCCATTTGATTGCAGGCACGTGCGCGCCGCCGGCGGCATCTGTATCGCCGACGAGGTCCAGGTCGGCTTCGGTCGCGTCGGCAGCCACATGTGGGCCTTCCAGATGTACGGCGAGGACGTCGTCCCGGACATCGTCACCGTCGGCAAGCCCATGGGCAACGGTCATCCCGTCGCCGCGGTCATCACGACGCAGGAGATCGCGCGCAGCTTCCGCAACACTGGTATCGAGTATTTCAATACGGTAATCACGCTTCTTTTAACGATAATTATTTTATGGGGCGTGGTTTAGTGCCCTCGGTCGGCCGTTCTCGTCTGGGTGGAGTTTGGGGGGGGGGGGGGGGGGGGGGGGAGGAGAGAAACTCGTAAATCCATTGACGTTGACAGCCAATGAAGCGGTTCCTCGTCGCGTCTTAATCGTTTCATGATCCACGAGCTTAATCCATCGAATTTAATAAATTTTCTTCCGCAACCCGGCCGAGTGTTAAAATCTCCGTTCCTCGGTTATAAGCTCCGCACCACGAGCCAACAAATCATTATATAACTTAAGATCGTCGCGATATGCCTTACATCATTACAGGCCTATAATGCGATCAATTCAATAACCGCGTTAAATGTCGATTACGCATAATCGATATGATTTCTTTATATTATTAATATGTGCCAAGTGGCAATAAGTACTTGACAGTTTGCCATCGACTTTGGCAATTTATAATATGCCCAACCATTCGTTATAAGCATTGGTAAGGGGTATTCTGTTGCCTCGTCAAACATAATTAGCAGTCGAAATTTTAACGAGCAGCCTCCCCATCTCGTGAAAAAGCTCGTGCCCGACATGTTGATGAAGAGTCGCTAAGAAAGAGAGGATGAGCAAGAGCGGAGCAAATGCGAGAAAAGAGGAGAAAGGATTTCCTCCTTTGTCTCTTGTCGTAATTTCGATCTCGGTGCAAACGATGCGATGCAAACCACGGATCCCGGAACCTCGATGTCTCGGACGTAGTCATCCGTGCTAGGGAGAGAGGGAGGGAGGGAGAGGTTAGAGAGATCTCCTCACCGAGAGCCAAAGTCGCTTACGTGGATTCGCGCAGTGGCGCCTTATTTATCAAGCGTAGACGCGCCGTCCGAGACGCCGCAGGCCTCGATTGATAAGGGTGGGGGGAATACGAATGTTTCCGTGGCTTTTGGATGGCCATGCGGGGCAATGGGAGCGTTGGCATTACTTACAATCGGCCTGCTCTTTATTTTATTTTTTTTTTTTTTTTTTTTTTTTTTTTTTTTTTCGTTACTTTTATCATCCCAGCGAGGAGATTAGGCCTACTGGCGTATGATTATTGATCGCGGCGCTTTTCTCTCGAGCGCCGACGTCTTTATCGATATTGTTTGTTGGCGCGATAGGCGATATTGTGATAAGCGAGAAGAGGTCCAGGGGTCGAAGTTTCGTACTCATTGTATCGGGGATGTTCTTAATCGTTTGCAGACGTATATTTGAAAGTAGCTAGTAGTTTGAATGCTTTTTAAATTTGTTTTTAATGGCTTGGGCGGCATAAATACGAGACGAGGAGGACGCCAAGTCACGCGAACGAGCTTCTTCGGTTAACGAGCCGTTCAAATTCAATTCGGAATAATGAGATAGAGCGAGGCAGTCGATGAGTCGTTCTTTCTTTTCTTCTTCTTTTTTTCTTTCTTATCGTATTCTTATCGGAAAGTTCATTCTTATTTTCAGTTCCCATTGTCTTTCCCTTATACAGCATAAATATTTTTAAGATCGATAATCGTTAAGCTCTCGTTTCTCGTACACTTACACGTGGCGCTAAAGCCTGAATAGCATGAATCAATGTTTCAACGATTTTTCACCTTATTCGACAATATTAACAACCGAAAATTCTAATAAAAGTGCTTGAAGCGAGCTGGCGTGCCATAAGCGAGCGCAATGAAAAAAGAGAAATCGAAGCAATACGAAAGCATGTCGGGAGTGGGCACAATATTATTGGCTCGCAATTTTTACAAAAAGAGTTTACACAAAATCATTTACGGCCAGGTACGACGAGTGTTGGTATGAATGAGCGCGCCTTTAAGGTTTAACATTTTGGGCGAATCGATCGCAGTTAAACGAATGCTTTTGCTAAAAGTAATTAATGCGTTCGATTAAGGAATCCTTGCAATGGTCAATGACTAGACTGCATTAAAGATAAAACCCATAACTCGACATAGCCAATAAATATAATAATATCAGGAAGAATAAAATGAGGAAAGAGAAAGGATGATACGCGGATCCATTCGGATGAAACTCTCCTCTCGAAGAAGCCGCGGAAAGCACGACAAATATATATATATATATATATATATATATATATATATATATATATATTTAGGGTTTATTGGGAGGAGGAGGGGGGGAGGGAGTGCCGGGTTATAGTAAAAATGCCAGGAAACGGCGTCTCGAAGCCGAGGCTATCACGGGCCAGAGAATCCGAAGGAAAATCTTCTACTTTATAGTACGGGGGCAATCCAGTCTCCTGCGCCGTGGCCAATGCCGTGATGGAGGTAATCGAGCGCGAGAACCTCCAGGAGCACGCGTTCAAGGTCGGCAATCACTTGATGTCCGAATTGAAGAAGTTGGGGAAGCGTCGGTCCTTGATTGGCGATGTGCGTGGTGCCGGCCTCTTCGTCGGCATTGAGCTCGTGCTCGACCGCAAGAGCCGTACACCGGCCGTAGCCGAGGCCAAGTACGTCGTCTACAGGATGAAGGAGGAGAAGATAATCGTGAGCAGTGAGGGCCCCGACTACAATATACTGAAGCTCAAACCACCGATGACGTTCAGCGTCGATAACGCCAATCAATTCGTCGCCAAGCTCGACGATATTCTCCAGGAGGTCGAGATCGCCGAGGAAGAGGTACGACTTTGTCCCTCGCATTTCTATACATTTGCCTTTTTATTTTCCTTTAAACTTATGCCTTTGCCTTTCACGAAACTACTATCTTAGTTGAAGGATTTTTAAAAGATTTTTCCTTCAAAGTTTCCTCAATTTCATCTACATTAGTATTTATTTTAATCAATGAGAACAATAAAGTTTACAGCACATATGTGTGATTACGTCAACGTTGTATAATCTAAATTTTTTGAGAATTAGTTAAAATTAATAAGCAAAACTCGGCTTTTTCAGCGATATAGTAGAAGATTAAAAGTAAAGCGTCTTTTATCATTATTTCCAGTAGAATTAACAGGCGATTTACATCCATACATTGTATTTTCATAATTTGAAAATTCTCTATCTATCGTTATCTGAAATCTAATTACAAAAGTTCTAAACGGTCACGCAAGAGTCCGGACTTTTTGCGGCTCCAGATATATCTGCTGCTTCAAATAAACAGAATTGAATACATTTATACTAGTTGGCAATTAGTCCATCAATATTATTAAATTTCTCACAATATCAGTTAATTAAGATTAATTTTAATTGCTGATATGATAATGTATCTCAGTGAGTTAGGTTAAGCTGTTACAAGTGGGAAAATAAAGTCATCATCACTACGATAACCTAATTTTAGTTCATTGGGATTAGTCGTATAATAATTATTTATTATAAAATAACTTTATGAAAGGAAATTATTAATAACAATTGTTTTTTTATTTTTTTGTTTTTTGCTTACTTTAGATACCGAAGCCGACGACTGCGATATTGAAGGCTCTAATAACACCTGTGCAAATGGATTTAGACCCATTATCAGCAAATATCAACACGGTTCTCGTAAAATCAAGTTAATGTTACGAATAAGTTATTATTAAATTTTATTGTTTAAGGCGCAATAACTTTTAAGTATTACATCATAAAGAAATTAGATTTTATGACTATGTAGACTTATAGACGCTTGAAGTCTTCAAACATTTGTACATAAAATATGTAAATATGTATTTAGTTTAATGTTTATGTAATGCTCTACTGTATCATTATGCTATAAGTCAATTGTTACATTTGCCTAACAAAGTTGTGTTATAAGTTATGATTTCAATTAACATATAATTTAGATATTTTCAATCTTCTTGTGTCTTCTTATTCATAATATGATGGCTAATACTAAATCATAAAAGTGGAAATGTTAAAAAGTATATTTTATTATATATTTATAATTTTATTATAATAAATATATATAATAGAAAAATGAATTAGATTTTTTTCTCTTCATTCCTAAGCCTAATTATCTTACCATTTCCCATCATAAACCTAACATTATATTTTAAAAAACGTTATGCTTCTACTCTACGTATACTCTATAAACTCATTCTCTCTCCCTCCCCCCTCTACCCCCTATATATATATATATATATATATATATATATCTATATATATATATATATATACCGTTTGTAAATTGTTAATGCGCATCGATAAATAAAAAAGGATTCGTGGAAAACGTTAATGTAAAAGACAATTTTTTAATTTATTATAATATTACGTTCAAATTTTTAATATTTGATGTATTTTATTGACTTTCATACTTAACAATTGAATTCCAAAATAATTTTGCGATTTGTGAAGTTCACAATCAAATGCGCGTCTAAGCATAATAATGATAATAATAATAACACTAACAGATATTAATTAAATGCTAAATGTTAAAAAAAAACTCGAATTAAAAAAAATTTCGAATCCTAAATTGACATGATTTTAAAAGAGAATTGTTCAGAAAAAATATATTTTCTATTCACAATTACATTTTATACATTGTGCTTTATTCTAAATTTCTTTTATTGTTGAAAATAATTACTCGTTTAATAGCGAACTTTTATAAAGGATATATATTATCTTATATGATATTGATAGAGAATTGTAATTTTTTTTTATATTTTTTTCATTTAAACAATTTAATTGATATACTTGCAGTTCATTGGATGTCAATGACTTTTCCTCAATAATAATGTAGAAGATAAATTAATATAGTTTTAAATAAGTTGGATTATGCAATTATTATTATGAAAGCAATTCGCGCTTTTAAAAACATTATGTACGTAAGCGGGTGAATAAACTTTTATTAAAAGTTTTTCTTTCACGCCTAAAAATACTAAAATACTGTTGTTAAAATGTACTAAATACTGTTTTTTTTTTTTTTATTATTATCATTGTTATCAATAAGTTTTAATTTTACAAATTAAAGGTAATTGATTTGCCAATTTATATAATCATTATAGTCTATTTGGTAATATTACATTGCGACTGTTTATCTGTTATTATATTTATATTCCGTGTGATAAAAAAAATTTGTTATATAGCATAATAAATGTTGAAAAAGTGAAAGAAGTTTTAATGATTTACGGGGCTGGAGAAACTATTATATATTCTCATAATAATTCTTAAAATATAAGAGAAATCTGTTGCAATACCTAATGAAGTATCTGGAACAAAAGTATTAAGATCATATTAAAATTTAACGTCCAATAGTTGAATTTAAACTATATTAAGAATATGATTTTACGGCGAGTAAATAAATAATATAATGTTAGTGCTCGTATACAATTATTCCTCTAAGGCAACTCGGTTGTTTTAGTAATTTTAGAATAAAACTTTTCCTAGATTAATAAATTGCCTTACGCAATTTTTGTACTTTATCGAAAATTAAAAAAAATTAATTGAAAACATGTTAGAGAATTTTAATTAAATTTTATCTTTAATAAAGCTCTATTTTTGTGAACTCATAACTCGTGTAATAGAATCTTGGTAGAACAAATACAGTGATCTAATTATGTAGAGGCATTAAAAAAATATATATGCTGACAAATTTCCAAGATTTCCTAGTATTTGTTTCAAATGAAATAATAAATCGTGAACAAATTTAATGATGTTTGACCTTTCAAACTGACTCTGCTTATTATAATCTTTAAGTAAATAGTTGAGAAAAAATTTTTATATTTTGCTGCTGCATTGAGTCTTTACACTCGCACGATTGGTATTATTTATATTTTCACCACTGAGATTAAAAAGCCAAAATTACTTAAGAATGCATCATATCAATAATTAATATTATTATTCCTTCCTTGTTATTAGTATTTTTATGATTATCTATAGGGATTATTTTGACACGAATAGATAATAATTTAATAGTCTCAATATTTCTTGCTAGTCATTGATTTTGGGGCTGCACACGGGGAAAAAAGGCAACTCATTTGTTAATTTGTGGACATTTAAGAATTCGTAGAGGGATAATAATTATTAAGAAGAGAGAGCCTACTTCTTATGTATAATAATAAGAAGAATAAGACGCGACATTGCTCTTTAGAAATTGTAAAGATTCATTTGTTTCAGTAAAGTAGAATCTTATTTAATTAAGGTCATAACGTGTTAATTTTTTTTTTTTTTTTTTTTTTTTTGCTCAACTAAAATAAGCTTTAATAATATGTTGTATGAATGAGTGAAGAAAGGATGTGAAAAGAAAAATAAATAAAATTTTTTAATAAAATTAATAACGTAAATACGTAATATATTAATAAAAGAGACATTCCCTGATGGATTAAACTTCTCTTATATTCTAGGATAATATTATATTATTTGTACGCTATATCAAATAATCTATAACACATGATTACGTATTTGACTTTCATAAATATTTATTTTAATAACATGCACGTTATTATTTCAAGTCAATTTTTATTTTTACTTATGAAATTAGACACGTTTTACTATTTAAATTTATGACTTTTATATTTCAATGCTCACTATGTTTCTGCACAAATTTCATTCACAAAAACCTCATAATTTCTATTCTTCTATTGATTTTTACAATTTATTCAATTTACTCTCATATTTTTCATTGCCAAGATGATGTTATTGTATTATTATTTGCTTGTTGCATAATCTTTATACCATAGATACAATAATTTTAGAGTACATCATTTAATCAATTATGTTTTCTCGTACATATCTCGTTACATAGCAATTACTATCATTTTGTGTATGCAGGAGCATAGGAAACGAATGTTAATGCCAACTTTAGGAATGAAATGCAGTATACGCCGCTGGAATTTGAAATCACATTCATCATATACTTATAGATAGATAGCAAAGAAAATTAGTTTTATCGAATATCTAACAGTAAGCAAGAATTATCCCATCAATACTGTTTGCAAATGAATAAAAAACTCATTAATGCTAATAAACAAGGGTATTTAATAAAAAAATATGCATAATCATTAAATTATTATTGATTATTAAAATTTTACACTAGAGCTTTTTTACGTGTTTAGTAATTCGTATAAAGAGTTTATGGTCAATTTGTTTAAACAAGTATCATTACGAGATCTTGACATTCAAATATTTAGGAGGACCCTATCCATAAAATGCAATTGTAGGAAATACTACTAATTAATTATTATAAATTTAAAACTTATTATATGTAATATAAAATTAATACTCGTATAAAATAATTTTCTTGTAAATAGCTGAGGATACTTCGTTTCATTTATCATTATACGTGATCTTTGTTGTTTAATAATGTCGCGATTGCTGTATTTGTTACAACTCTCTTATGTTTTGATAAAATTTCAAATAACTTTTGTTATCTCACTAAATAATTGTAAAATAATGTAAATTGCTTTTTCCTTCATAGACACGTAATTTTTACTATATTTATATACTTGTTGTTATTTTTCGTGAACTTTCGTAATTATTCAATATAAAAAATAATTTTTTGTTTTTAGTCCAAAAACATTGATTACTATGTTCTAGAATAGATTGTTTTTTTTTAGGAAATTATGTATCATTAGTAATTATTCGTGTTATTGTTGAAATAATATTATTATCAAATAACTATTATAAGTGAAATCATAAATTATATAATCGATATGATTGTATACTGAAGATATGTTATAGTTTTACAGAAAAGCTTTATGAAAGAATTGTTTTGCCCACGTAAAGTCAGAAATAAATACATTTAAGATAATTAACATCTTTTTGTCTTAACGTGGATAAAACAAAACAAAAAAAAAAACAAAAAAAAAATAAACAAAATAAAAAACAAGAAAAAAAAAACATAAAAACAAAGAAAAGAAAAAAACAATAAGATGAAATAAGAATGTTGCACTTGCACTTTAATAACATAATGTAAAGAATCCAATTTGTAAATATTAATTGTTTTGAAAAATTGACAAAAAAATTTAGTTTTAGTAATTATAATGCATAAATTAAATTTTTAACTATTTAAATACGTTAATAATATAAGATACGACATTATCACAATTTTATTATTATTAAAGTATAATTCGTGTATTAGAAGATGTATTGCTATTGGTATTATTCACATATAATTGCACGTTACTGTAAGAGAACTGGCTGAAAGTTCCGACATAATTAGAGAAATAACGTGTATCTAGTTTAATACGTGCTGATTACAATAGTCGATTAAAAATATGTAAGATTGTATTGCACATTCATATTGATTGAAAAGAAAATTGTCGAGAAACTAAGTAATATTTGACCTTTTAACCTGATACAGCATGTTCCTAATCTTCGAATATACGAATGAGAGAAAAGTATTTCAGCGTCATATCGCTCAGCCACAAAAATTCTTAGTGCGTACATAAATGATACACTGTTTCCATATAGAGAGAGAGATAAAGTGAAAAGTTAAGTGAGTCAACTGATCAAGGGTTGTGCTGATTTAGCATCTATAATTTCTATTGAAAAATTGTACTCTAATGCTATTGGTATAAATACTGTAGGCGACGTTCCGATTTACCATTCGAAGTTGGAATTCCACAACAAGGAGAAACATGTGGTCGCCAGCGATTTTGCTGCTCCTCGGTAAGTGATTATTGCTTCACTTCGTTCGAATTCGATAGAAATTACGGGGAGAGAAGGGAAAATTGGAAATTCAGACGTTCGTATGAATCATTGTGATGCGACTGTGAGCTGCTTTTTTTTTTTATCATTTGCCTTTTTGACTGCATTTAATTTTCATTTTTGTGTCTTTTTTTATGTTACGAGATGAAATTTCAATGATATGAAAATAATTAACTTCAATTTTTAAATAGACGTCGAAGCAAAAGATTTTCTATGCTCCATGCTATTAAGAAACTGTAACGTGACCGAAAGGGATTTTTAATTTTCTGAAATATGATTTTCAAATATTCCAAAGACGATAATAATAGTTTCGTGTATTGCAGAATTATTGATACGGAGTAATTATATTCGTTTTTATATTTGTCACTATTTATTTACAATTATTCCCAAATAATTTCTTTCGCGCTTTATACTTTCCGTCTGCTATCTTGGATACTCACACATCCATCACAATTCTAAACCGAAATATCTTTTTATCAATTAATACAAACTTTTCATCTTGAAAATACAAGGATTAATAAATTACTTTCACCAGATATATATATTTTTTTAAATACTCGAATGCCGTACTTTACTTTTTTTTTTTTAATTTTTTTCAAATTCCTTATTATTTAATTTAATAAGGCTTAATTTAAAATTGATTTTTTTTTTTTTTTTTAAATAACCGTATAATCTGCCATAAGCAGATAATACATAATGCGGAATGTAAAATATTTATATTGCGAATAATTAAATGCAAATCTGATTATTGAATATATAATTTTGAAATATTTGTTGTACACGAGGTATATGCAATTCGCATTGGCGAAATTTCATTTTATGCACTTAAATTTACGAAAGTACACGGCTTTTTCAAACGCGTATGTTATCATTTTAATTCATTGAGGCACATAATTATCAATAAAATTGGAAAGGTATAATATTTAAACGATCGGGAATAACAATATTTCAAGCTATTCCTTGAGCGCGTCATTTATTTTATAATTTATTAAGATGTCTTTCGTTTCTTCGAATATAATAATCCCCTAATCCCCGAAACAATTTATTAAATTTGCGTTTCCGCATTAATTCCGTTCTCTAACCAATAATAATGTATTTGGGATCTTAACGATTGATTAAATTTACTTTGTAAGGATTGCAATTATCATGAGAAGAGCACATATTTCTTATGTTATAATTATAATGCATGTGTAGTTAAAAAATGATTTCACAATTAGAAATATAAAATGCTCAAAGATTGTCCAATAGGGGGAGACGTATTCATACAAGTAAAAGAACACGTAAAATTGAATTAATAAATCGTAAGAATTTATGCATTAAAGAAAAGAAGAAAAAATGCATTTTGTCGATGCATATTATGCATCTATGCAATAATCGCGTGTTAAACACGATAATTATTATTTTGCAGTTGGAGTGGCATTCGCCAATCATCAGAATGGATATAAAGAGGGCAAGGAGTACACGTACAAGGTTAGAAGTCGTACATTGGCTGCCCTAAACTCGCAATCGAAACAATTCACCGGTGTTGTAATGGAGGCTCGTCTTACCGTTCAATCGAACGGTCAAGAAACTCTTCGGGCCAAGATCACCCAGCCACGTTATTCGCAAATTCATACGCGCCTCGACGATGGTTGGGACTCGGACATTCCGAACAGTCAGAACAATCTTCAAAACTTCCCACTCAACAGCGAGCCATTCGAAATTAAAATGAAGAATGGCGTTGTCCGCGAGCTAATCGTTAATAGGAACCTCAAGACCTGGGAAGTCAACGTACTGAAGAGTATCGTGAGTCAAATGCAGGTCGACACCGAGGGACAGAATGCCAAGAAGTCCAAGCACAATCACTTGCCCGAGGGAAAGCAACCGTTCGCCATGTTCAAAGTCATGGAAGATTCCGTGGGCGGTGAGTGCGAGGTGCTTTACGACATTTCTCCGCTCCCCGAGCACGTGCTTAGGAACAATCCGGAACTGGCACCTTTACCGGACTTCCGTGACGACGGTGACATGATCTCGCTCGTTAAGACCAAGAACTACAGTAACTGCGAGCAACGAGTTAGCTTCCACAGCGGACTCAATGGACGCGATAAACTCGAGCCCGGCAGTAACGACAATGGAAAATATTTATCCGTAAGTACGGCACTTTGTGACAAAGTCTACGCGCTATGTGTAACGAGGCTCGCCTATGCTAATGATCTTTGTTTCTCTCTCGTACGTGATATTGCAGAGATCGTCGGTGAGCCGAGTCATTCTTTCTGGTAATCTGAAAAAATACACCATTCAATCGTCGGTGACCATCAATAAGGTTGTCCTCAATCCTGACCAACACGAATTCCAGCAAGGAATAGTTGCGAGCAAGATGAATTTGACTTTGCATTCCGTAGAGAGCATATCCGAAGAAATATCGGCACCGTCCAATCCACAGTCTGCTGGCAATCTCGTGTACAATTACAATAATCCATTCGAGAGCTCGTCATCACGCTGGACGCACAAGAGCAGGAAACACTGGTCCAATGACAACGATTCCCAGGAAGATGATAAGAAAAAGAACAGGAGGAAGCACAACGACTACGGGAACTCGGACGAATCGAGCTCAAATTCCGATTCTTCGGAGAACTCCAACGAGAACAACGACAACGACGACGATTACCTGCAGCCGAAACCAAAGCTCACCGATGCACCCCACAACCCCATGCTCGCCTACTTCATCGGTAACAATGGACAATCCATTCAAAAGAACAACAAAGTCGACGCCGTGAAATCGTCGAGGAACATTGCCCAGCAAATCGGCAATGAAATGCAGCAGCCCGACAGTATGCCGGACGAGCAGACTCTCGAGAAATTCTCCATCCTCACGAGATTAATTCGCACCATGAATGCCGATCAAATAGCCAATGCTCAGCGCGACCTCTACGAGAAGCCGCGTTCCCATAATCAGGTGATTCGGGACAAGGAGGACCAGAACGTTCGTAGAAACGCGTGGCTTGCATTCCGTGATGCCGTGGCACAAGCCGGAACCGGCCCAGCCCTCGTCAATATCAGGCAATGGGTCCAGAGCAAGCAGATCGAGGGCATGGAGGCTGCAAATGTAATTGACACTGCTGCGAAATCCACTCAGACGCCCACGCCCGAGTACATGGACACGTTCTTTGTAAGTGTTGCGTTAAGCCAAGGTGTTGTTACGTTATGAATACTGCGATTGGCTTACGGGATTGCGTGTTTTTATCTTTTGTTTCTCTGTTCACAAGGACTTGGCTACGATGCAAATGACCGTGGATCAACCGACCGTACGCAATGCCGCTATTTTATCATTCGCCGATCTCGTTCGTCACGCCATCGTTAACAAGCAAAGTGCCCACAATCGCTACCCCGTTCACGCATTCGGCAGATTCATATCCAAGAAGAAGAGCAACCTGCACGACAAATACATCCCGTACATTGCCAAGGAACTGAAGTCGGCCATCGAGAGCGGCTCCAGCAAGAAGATCCAGCTTTACTCAACGGCTCTTGGTAGAACTGCTCATCCACGTATGCTCTCCGTCTTCGAGCCTTACCTCGAGGGTAAGAAGCAGGTTTCGATGTATCAGCGCCTCGTCATGGTACTATCGATGAACAAGCTCGCGAGCATTTATCCAAAGATCGCTCGCTCGGTACTTTACAAGATCTACTCAAACAATGCCGACGATTCCGAAGTGCGTACCGCTGCTGTATACTTGTTAATGAAGACCAATCCATCGGCAAGTATGCTCCAGAGGATGGCTGAATACACGAATTACGATAGCAGCAAGCAAGTTAATTCAGCGGTGAAGTCCACCATTAAGTCGCTCGCTCAACTCGACACTCAGGACGACGATTTATCCGATGCCGCTAAAGCCGCGGAGCCCCTATTGACGCCCGAAGATTATAGGCCACAATTCTCACGGATGCTCTTGGCGGGAACTCAAGATTCTCAGACCGACTCTGGATATTCCATAGAGGCCAACTACATTGGCAGCACCGACAGCATCATTCCAAAGGGAATATACTTGAACATCAATCCGATTTATCGAGGATTGCAAGTGCCGCAAATGCAGTTTGGAGCTAGTGTTTCCAGTGTACAGAACATGTTTAATTTCATGGGAGATAAGCTCTCAAATTTCAATCAAAAGATAAGCAAAAGCAAACAGAAGGCCCAGCAGGAGAAACTTTCGCCGGAAAATATCATAAACGCCTTGGGCATACAAGGTGACGATGCCGAGCAAGTCGAAGGTCTTATTTTCATGAATACGAGGCATGGAAATCATTTCCTATCCTTCGACAACCACTCCATGGAGCAAATCCCGAAACGTAAGTATCGACACGTTTCACATAGCATTTTATATCCTCGTATACGTATGTATCATTGTTGTTTATTTTCTTACGTAATTCATTGCTAATAAATTCGTATTGTTATCGTTCGATAGAGCTTAAACAAATGGAGGAGGCAATGAAGGAAGGACGAAGCTTTAACGAAACTAAATTAAGTAATTACGAAGTGACCATGAGCTTCCCAATGGAGACTGGCTGGCCCCTTACTTTCACACTCCAGATTCCCACGGTCATGAGCGTTAATGGAAAATTGAAGACGAAATCGGAGAACGATTCTGGAAATCAGTCCCCTATTCCAAAATCCGCCACCATCTCCGGCAAAATGAGATTCATTTACGCAATGAAGATTCAGAAGAGATTGAGTTTTGTCGTGCCATTCGAAAGCCAAGAGTACACAGTCGGCGTCGACCGAAACTTACAGATTCACTTGCCAGTTCGTTCCGAAATTGAATTCGACCGAAAGAAGCAGGAAGCTGTTTTAAGACTTCAGCCGATTGGCGACGAGCAGGAGTACAAAGTTCTTCAGTACAAGACACAACCATTCACCTCCAAGCACGATATCCTCAGCCTCCAGCCCGTTCAAACGGACAGAAATACTCACACCATTCATAAAGATCGCGCAACATCCTCGCAGATTGAATTTAACGACAAGCACAACCAACAAAGACTGCAATTCCATTGGGAAAGACAGCCGAGCCGGTCGAACGATAATCAGGCCAACGAAAATCGTCATCTACGCGAAAAGGCTATGGACGCTGCAAATAAACTTGCCCGTTCAATGGCTATACTCTACAATCCCAATGAACCTGAAAAATCAGAGTATGAGAAGTACTCGGTTAAGGTGGCCTCGAAGAGCGACATTAGCGCGGAAATGAGAATATCCTACGACTCGCTGACTTCGGAAAATAGTAACAAAGCCGACGATTCTGACAGCTGGTCACCGAAAGCCAAAGTACCAAATCTCGAATCGAACTTGAACGAGCAGGAGCGCAAGCACAAACTTCTCAAGGAAGCCGCGAAGAACATTAACTTTGCTAATGCCAAGGCCGTTGACATTAGCTTGGAAGTAACCGGAGGCGTACAGACATCGGCAACGGTCACAGTAGCCGCCAGTAGCAGTAACATCGACGAGAAATCTCGTTTCCTTGTTGTTGCTTCGGCTAAGACTAACGAGGGCAAGGATTATTACTTATCCGCTGGATTCGAAGCCAGATCTCCAAATACGGATAGTTTGGATTACGAAGAATCCTTGAAGGCTAATACTCCGCGGGAACTCGATGGTGAGATCCAATATGGAAAGGGCAGCGACCGCAATAACGAACAGAGCCAAAACAAAATCAGAATCCAGGGTAAGGCTAAGCTGAGCGAGGAGCGGAAGAAGGAGATTCGTCTGTCACGCGACGCGCAATTTTGCTCGAAACAAGAGAGTCAAAATGGCAACAAGATGTCGAAATCTTGCCAGAAGGTTAACCAACGCGCCAGTACGGTCGACAAAGGCGAGCTCACTATTAAATTCGAGAAGGAATCGACCGCTAAGGAAATGGCAATGAGCGTCCTCGATACCGTCGAGAGTATATCTCAGAACGTTATAACCGTTGAGAAGGACCGACAGGACAAGGAAGACAAGAACGAAATTAAGGTTGCTTTTGAAATGCTGTCCAAGGACAGAAAGATGGACGTGACCGTGAAAACGCCCGAAGGCAAACTTCGATTAAAAAAGATTTACAACATTCAGAATAACGACAATGACGAGGAGCTCGAAGATGAAATCATGACCAGTAAGTATCCTAATAATAATAATAATAATACTACTATTGCTACTACGACTACTCCCACTGCTCCCACTACTCGTAATACTACTCTCACTACTACCACAAACGTTCAACAATTTTTTACATACAATTTATGATCAACTCGCGATATTTACGCATTATCATAGACACTTGCCATTTGGACAAGACGGAAGCCGAGACCTTCGACAATCATCGCTACGATCTCGAACTCGGCAAATGCTGGTACGTCGCAATGACTGCCAACCCCAAGAACGATCCAGATCGCTCTGGCCAACAATTAGATCTGCCGGAAGACATGCACGTCACCATTCTGACTAGAGAAGACGACAATGGTAATAAGGAACTTAAGGTAACTCTGGGTGATAACGAAGTGAACCTTTGGGGATCTTCGTCCCGACGAGTGCAAGTCAAAGTCAACAACGAAAAGATCGAATACTCGAAGCAGAATAGCTACCAAGAGAAGAAGAATGGCGACATACTTTTCGAGCTCTTGGAACTTCAGGACAAATCCGTGCAACTTATATCCGACAGATACGACGTTAAGATAACCTACGACGGATCTCGCGCTGAAATTAAGGTACGAGCATCGACTGCTATCTTATATCGAATCATCAACCACTTTTCACACAATCACACGCAATCACACACACGCGCAAACACACGCACGCAAACACACACACGCGCGCAAACACACGCACGCAAACACACACGCACGCACGCAAACACACGCACGCACGCAAACACACGCACGCAAACACACACGCGCAAACACACACGCGCAAACACACGTACAAACACACGCACAAACACACGCACGCACACACGCACACACATGTTGAAATGCAATTTTTTTTTTTAATGCAATTAATGCTCCCGTTTAATACGCAGGCTGGATCCAAGTATCTCGAGTCCGTCCGAGGTCTCTGCGGCAACAACGACGGCGATTTGAACAACGATCAGCAAACACCCAAAGGCTGCCTTCTTCGCAAAGCCGATGAATTCGCAGCAACGTACGCTTTATTAAAGGATAAGTATTGCGACGACTCGGTTCGCCAGAAGGCCGAGAAGACTAAGAGCTCCAAGTGCCATTACCAATCGACTCGGCTCGGCAATGTCATCAGTGAGCAGGAAGCCGGACGCGAAACCCAACGCAACGACAATCGCGACGATTCGAGCAACGAGGAGTCACGTTGCATGTCTCATCGCACAAAGATTATCAAAACCGAGAACGAAATCTGCTTCTCATTACGACCGGTGCCCTCTTGCTCGTCCAGCTGCAGACCCAAGAATGTCAAGACCAAGAACATCCAGTTCCACTGTGTTAATAAGTCAAGCGCCGCGGAAAAGGTTGCCCAGCGCATCGAGAAGGGCGCCAATCCAGATTTAAGCCAAAAGTCCGTTTCCAAAGTCGAGGAATTCAACATTCCCATAAGCTGCAAAGCTTAAGCTTCTGATCGGCAACTCATGCAAAATGACAAATTTATTTATTTAAATTGTTTAGTTTTTTTTTTTTTTTTATTTGTAATTTTAGTATCGCTCAATAAACCAAATTGTCCGCTATAAATAATTCGATATTTTAATTATCTATAGTCCCACGACTGATCTTCCTCCACCAACAATAAAATCATCGCTATTCTGCCATTTATAAATCCCATAAATTTCAGGTCAATCAATCCTGCGCATTACGAGTTATTCTTACGACAAACTATTTATTGCACTTCTAGCATACGGATGATAAATAAAAATTCATTTATTTATTTTCAATTGTGCATAAGTTTCAAAAAAAAAAAAAAAAAAAAAAAAAAAAAAAAAAAAAAAAAAAAAAAAAAAAAAACAAAAAACAAGGAATAAGAAGGAACATAACGGATGATAAATAAAAATTCATTTATTTATTTTCAATTGTGCATAAGTTTCAAAAAAAAAAAAAAAAAAAAAAAAAAAAAAAAAAAAAAAAAAAAAAACAAGAAGACAAAATAGAAAAGACACAGAGATAGAGATGAAACTATTAATAAATAAACAACCTTTTGTAATTTAATATAACAGACGTAGGAATTAGAAAGGATAGAATTTTTTCAACATTGTCTCTGCAAAATCAATTGAAATTAAACGGCAATTGACATTAATATGAGCTTGATTCTCCTCCCCCGCGCATACGCTCCACCGAGTCAGCGTCGATGGCTCACAAATTTCTTAGTCATGTAGAAGTGCAAGGACTAGGCAAGGGACTTTCTCGTACTTAGAATTTGGCAAGAGTGGCGAATATAGTAATCAAGAAGGAAAATAGTCGTCGGAGCTCGGGGTCTCGGCAAAAAAATAGCACCAGGCGACGTCGGTCTTTGGAGTTCGATCGCAAAAAATCTCGGGATCTCCCCTTTCATTCTCTCTTTCACGAGTACGGACTACTCCCTAGGGCATAACCGAGCAACCGCTAAGCCATCCACGAAAAACAACCCAAGCATACTTTGAAGTCGTAGGAAAAATAAAAAAAACTAGTGGCAAAATGATTAATTAATAATTAAGAGAACGCGAAAAATCTTATATTTTTGTTGTTGTTGTTTTCTTTTGTTTATTAGTGACACTCGAACTTTTAAGCGATTCTTAGGCATTTTTATATAAACTTTTGGACAATTGATTTACCAGGATGGATTATCAGTTATTTATAAAAGTTATTTAACAACATCCAAGTGTCTACGTTATAAGTTGGCAAAGCTCCTTACGTACAATTTATTAATAAAATTTTTTATTAAATTTAAATGGATGATGGATGTCATTTAGAGTGTATTCATGAAGTTAATTCATGAAGAAGAATTGATATAATACGAATGGATTATAACTGAAATAATCGAATGCTCCGAAGCATAAAGCAAACTTTAACAAAAAAAATTTTTGTTTAACTCTTTTTAAGCATCACATTGAGTTTATTTATAATTTATACCGACTAATGATTGAGTAACGAGTAACGATTGCCGCGACACTACATTTTTCTTACATCGTTTGCATTAACATAAGGTAGCAAACAAATATATGTATGCTCGTAGTCACACGATGTCACAAAATGGTAAAGCGATCATCAGAAAGAAAAAAAAAAAAGAAAGAAAGAAAGAAGAAGAAAAATTTTTTTGAGATATATATATATAATATTGTAATGGGAAAGTGCAGAAGTAAGCTGTAACAGAAGCAGCAGTGGAGTGAAAAAAAAAAAAAAAAAAAAAAAAAAAAAAAAAAAAAAGAGTAACTGCAGATCAGTAGGCATTCATCGATTCCCGGTATTCCCAAGACAATACTGATGTATTGCAGTGAGTATTAGGCAGACTTTTCAAACACATTGGCATATAAAATGGAAAACGTGGCAGTGCTTCTACCTGCTGAGACTATCAAATTGATACTTACTCGATTCACATTTTATTATCGGTTTCCCGAGAGACAGGATTACGTCAGAGTACGCGACGTTACTTCTCAGATACTTTAGCACTTGTAACTTTCGAGAAATTTCAATGAGGTTTTCCACGCTGTTGCGGTTGTAAATTTGAGAGAAGTTTTGCTTTGTCTAATTCGGTGTTGCTATGCTTTCTTGCTAAGCCGATGGTATCAATAATTTTATTGGATATGCGTTGGACGTCCAGGCTTATCCGTCGGCGAGTAACAGTTCATCTTTTATAAATTGCTGTATGATTAATGACGAATTGCAATTGATGTCTTCATTTACAAAACATATTTTGCTTTTCTTAATGCATCCATTAAGTTTTAAGTCGAATGTTCTCATTTGTTCCCCTTTTAAGAGTTGAAACTGTAATACAATCGTTGCCATTGTGCATTAATATATGTAAAAACAAGAAAACAAGCTTATATCAAATTTACAATGCTTCGTGTTAATTAATCCATTTATATTTAAATTGTTGATACGGTAAACAATAATTTTATTTTGATTTTTTTCTCTTAATTTCTTTGTTCATTAAAATTAGAATTAAATTACAATAATGGATGGATTATCGAACGGTCTCGCTTAACATAAAGCATATAAATACTTTGCTCACAACCACAAATTCATTCTTTAATGTCAGTGATTACTCGTACGTACGGATTTAGTAGCGAGAAGAAGCTTCGCTACAGTGGATTAAAATTTTTTCAAGCATCTTATCCTAATCTCAATGTCTTTGTAAGTTTCACGAGGCACAAAGTCAAAGCCTATAAAAGTCCAACCGTTTTCCTAACTCATAACGAACGATCTGTTTATAATATTCAGTTATATTATTATTCTTTTTGCTTGATGTTTTTATGTTTTTGCATAAAAATATTCAATTATTACCATAGAATTTTGAATAATAATTGATTGGAATATTAAAAATTTTAATCTAAATATTAGAGGAGAAAAAAAAAATAGATTATAAGATTATAATATCATGATATTATAATTAACATATAACATGACCAATCATTAAAACCGATTAATTTCACAATTGTATTCTAAATATTTTTGAAATTTATCATGAATTATATCTAACAAACTAGAAAAGAAAATTTTTTATTCATAACTTCGTTTTAAGATATATTCTTTAATTATAATGCAAAATGAGATTAAATCCTGGCAATCGATAAATATTATATGGCAATTTAACATAAATATTACGGACATGATTTCACGGGGGAAATATTTGCATTTCAAACTCAAGATTTTCACTGCATAGTATACGATTAAATATTCATCTATTGTATCTCGGTAATTAAAAATTATGTTATAAATACATCGGAAAGATGGAAGAAAAATTGATTTTTTATTTCTAATTTGATAATCTGCCTGCATAATAAGACGTGAATATTGTTTATACTAAATTTATAACTCTCAAAGTTAATATTGAAGGCTTAAAATGGAGCTTTAAATTATAATTATTTTTTTTCTTTTTTTTTTTTTTTTTTTTTGTATCACCAAGTACAAAATAAAAATTTTTATGTAATGAATGTTAGTGGCATTGTCGGTAAATTAAAAATACATTCCATCCATTCATATATATATATATATATATATATATATATAGTTGGACAGCAGAGCAAAATTCTAATGAAATTCGTTAAATTTTTGAAGATTATTAATATGGTATTTAAATTATTAAAATTAAGTTACAAGAAACTCGAAGTCCGGGAATTGAGGTATCAATGTTTTTTCGTATTGAAATTCAGAACAATGGTCTTTTGGCTTGAAAAATTTCAACTTCACGTTTGACGTTAAATTCTATTCAGAGCAGTTTATGATGTACGTAGAATGGATTTTGGAGATATTTTTAAAGACTTTTTAATATTACGATATTATAATAAACAGTCGCCGACATGGTTGAAGAAATTTATTAAATTTCATGACAAAGAATGTTAAATAACGATTCTTCTTTCAATTGCGTTAAAATCTTAATTTTCATTACAAATATCTACAAGAAAACACCAAAGTTATAATGTGCATGTAGATTTGTTCGTAGACGATGTAGTATTTTGTCGTAGTTAATTTTTTTTATTATATAATTCGCGAGAGACTATTTCTCTATTATATAGACTATATACTATATAATATATATATATATATATACTATAGAGACTATTGCTGTTTGTGAGTAAGCGAATGAGGTAGGCAAATTGATTTTGGTAATTAACTTGAGTGATTTATTTGGGAAGACCGGGAGTCAGATAATTAGAATTGAAATAGAATGAGCAGCAAAGAGGATTTCAATATGAAAACCGGACAGTTAAAGGCCTTTAGCCAAGCCAAAGCGATTATCGGGAGATAACATAACTCGACTTGAGAATACTAGGATTAGGCTAAGTATCCTAATTGTCTTTCGTGTTGAATAAATGATGGAGAAGAGATCCTGTTTTTATTAAAATGTTTAGTGTGGACTTGCCTTGCCGACACTAATTTAAGAACAATTACCTAACTGTTTGCAAAAATGTCCAACTTTAATTCCTCGTTCATTTGTCCAATCTAAGATTTACAAGGTATTTATTCCATTATTAACTTGTAATAAGATATTATTCATCATTAATTACTCAATAATTACTCAAGATAATATAAGTGAATTACTGATTATTTTATATTTACAATATCTGCATATTTTTGTATTTAAGTAAAATTCGTGTTTTTTTTTTGTTTTTTTGTTTTTTTTTTGTTTTTAAATAGCCGAAATAAAGTAAACTATTGAACGAGCAAAAAACAAATCGCAAATTTTATTTATAAATATGAAATTAAATACATATGTCAAAGATTAAAAAATTTTGAAAAAATTTTAATCGATAATAAATTAAATTGTAACATGTATATAATTTCACTTTGAAATACCGAAAATATTTTAATACGTGAAAATTTTTCTACAACATAATTACGTCACTCTTAACCATATGGACTATCCATTTAATGCATTTTTATTAATCCATAATTCATTATAGAATTAAAAATTAAGATATATTCGGCAGGTAAACTCATAATCTTTGTTGATATTGATCTACTTGATTGAATTAATAAT